ACAAATGTGTGATATTATAAGAGAACTAAAAGACAAGAACAGCACTGAGGGAGCTGATAAATACAGAGCGATTGGCAGAAAGATCAAGAAAGGAATGAAGGTGGCCAAGGAAATAGGGATTGAAAAACAATGCTCTAAAATTGAAGAGTGTATCAATAATTAAAATAGCAAATGAGCCTTCCAGGTTGTAAAAGTTCCGACAAAGGAAAGATGGACCAAAGCTAATGCAATTCACAACAAAGAAGGGAACCGTCTTACAGAGGAAAGGGACATCATCAATAGGTGGACAAACTACTGCTCTGATCTATACAACCACCAGACAAGTGGAGATCCTAGTGTCCTAGACAGCCCAGATTCAACAGATTAGGATTACTTTCCAATACTGCGTGAAGTGGAGACAGCTGTGAAATCACTCAAGAACAGAAAGGCTACAGGTATTGACAACATCCCAGCTGAACTGTTGAAATTCAGAGGAGAAATAGTAATAGATGGACTCACCAAGATCTGCAACAAGAACTGGCAGACTGGTGAGTGGCCATGCACGTGGATACAGTCACTAATCATCACTCTGCCAAAGAAAGGCAACCTGCAATTGTGTCAAAATTACCAGACTATAAGCTTAATTAGCCATCCCAGCAAAGTGATGTTGAAAGTCATATCGAACAGACTGAAGCCACAAGAGGAGAATATCACTGCTGAAGAACAGGCTCCCTTTTGTGCTGGAAGAAGTACCACAGAACAGATTTTCAACCTTCATGTTCTATGTGAGAAGTACTTACAACGCCAGCAGGACATCTTCCACATCTTTGTTGACTTCAAGAAGGCGTTTGACAGAGTATGGCATGAAGCTCTCTGGGCAACCAGGAAGAAGTACAATGTTAGTCATAAACTTATGCTTACCATTAAACAACTGTATGCCAAGGCCAGCAGTGCCGTTCTCGTCAATGGCACAATAGGAGGGGGGTTTCGCACCGCTGTTGGAGTCCAGCTAGGCTGCCTTCTTTCAGTCACACTGTTCAACATCTACTTGGAGCGCATAATGATTGATGCCCTAGAAGATCACATATGCACAGTAGGCACTGGGGGGTGAACAATCTCAAATCTTCAGATCGCTGATGACATTAACGTCCTGGCAGGCAGTGAAGATGAATTTGCCAACCTTGTGAAACAATTAGATGAAAACTCCGCAAAATACAGCATGGAAATCAGTGCAGAGAAAACCAAGCTGATGACAAACAAACATGATGGAATCAGCTTGTATATCACTGTCAGTGGACAAGAGCTCGAGACAGGGAAACAGTTCAATATTTGGGGGCAATCATCACTGATGAAGGATCAAAGACACAAATACTGGCAAGAACTACACAAACAGCAGCAGCGGCGGCAAAGCTAAAGCCAATTTGGAGGAAGAAGAACATCTCCTTGGAATCCAAATTGAAACTGCTGCACGCACTGATCATCTCCATTTTTCTGTATGTGTGTAAGACATAGACTCTTATGGCAGAACTTAAACGGAAAATACAGGTAGTAGAGATGAGATACTTCCATAAAATCCTGGGCATCTTCTACTTCGACCACATCACTAATGAAGAGGTCCACAACATCATCACCCAGTGCGCTGGGCCATATGAAGACCTCCTGATGAAGGAGAAGTGCAAGCTGAAGTGGTACTGCCATGTAACAAGATCATCTGGCCTATCCAAGATCATCCTCCAAGGGACAGTACAGGGGAAGAGAAGAAGAGGTAGACAGAAGAAGAGATGAACTGACAACATAAAAGAGTGAACAGGAATGGACTATGCAGAGACTCAAACACTGACACACAATCGTCAGGAGTGGAGACAACTGGTTGATTGCTCATCAGTGATGGTGCCCCAACAACCAATGTGGTTATGGGAGTGATAATGATATTCACCATTGCTCTGTCTATACTGTGGTTTATTAGGGACCATATCTGGACTTTCAGGTAAATTCAATAGCTGGCACAGGCTGTCAATATTACTCTTTATTCTTCTTCCAGCAAACTTGGTGCAAATGCCTCCAAAACCTGAAAGAATTACTGTCCTGTTGTATAATCGAAACCAAATCCAAACTGTCTTGGGCAAATGGAGCACAGAGCTGCCATACTCATATTAGCTATTTTGTTAAATCTCTAACCACACACTTATATTGGTACCAAAATATCTACAAATTATGCTTCCTTCTTTAACTATCAGTTAAAGGGGTGTACTTACTAATGCACTACATCAGAAATGCAAAGCACAGCACAGACTCTGAGCATTAAATGTAGAGGGGACAGGGCACAGAAGGAAAGCTAACCTGTGCCACAGTGGGAGATTAAAAATACCAATCTAATTAGACACCGGTGATTATGCAGCCATTGAGGAGTTTACATGCTTTGCAGGCCAGGGATTTTCCAATTTAGGATTTCCAATCCCAGGGTGCCTGCGCAATGAGAATTTTTAAACCTGGATGTATCTATCTATATTTTTTCAGTCTTGAAAGGTCTAGTTCATAAGGCCATCTGCCCGACAGTGGATTTTTAACCTCATTTTTTCATTTTGGTATTGGCTAAAAGACTGGAGTAGAGTTCTTTATAAACTACACTTCAATAGCTAGTTTCATTTGTAGCAGAAACCAGCATTTTTCTCCTGGAGTTTAGTTTAAATATTTTTTCCGCTGTGAACTCACCACTTATATTTGCACATATTGATTTTCCTTTCAAGCGTAGGACCCTAATGGCGTTAGTGAGAGAGCGTTGGGGGTCTTCATGTGTATTCCTCTGTATTACATTAATTTTTGTGCTTCCACCACTGGAGAAAGAAAAAGCTAGTCCCCCTAGTGTACTGCTGCAGTAGGATCTTGAAAAATCTGTGTAGCAATGCACTGACTAAACTGTATATCCACATGTAGTAACAAAACTAGCTCTTTTTTGTTTGTTTGTTTTTTAAAGCAGAGAACACATAGGCACTTAAAGAATCTACAGTGAAACTATGCAACCTTTCAATTCATTTATCAATTGTTCTGCTGTTCCTCTTTATGGGTAAATGCAATAATAAATGTTGTACAAGAAAATTAATCTGTATCCAGAGGATTTCATTAAATAAAAAGTGTGGACCTGTTGGGAATTACCAACTCTTGTTTTAATACAGTATTTTGTTTCAGATTGTGTTCTAGCCCAATTCTTTCCCCTTTTCAATGCACTAATCCAAGGCGAGCTGCAATATTTAGAGATATCTAACTTTACTGGTACTTCTCTCAAAGTCCACACCTTTTGAGATAGGAAAGTAATGGCATTTAGCCCTAGAAACACACTTTCCTCTAGCAATTTTAAATAGATGTTATACAAGTCAAGTTCTACACACAAAAGATAAGATCAGTACAGAAATCGTGTAAGAACTGTTCAGACTCCTTTTCAGGTTCATTAGTTAATTCTCACCAATGTGACAGTGTGTGACTGAAAAATAAGGCTCCATTTGCTTTTTGGCAATAACCTACCTCGAAAATAGAAAAAGAAAGATGCGGCATTCAGGTGAAACTCCTAAGAAGTAAAGAAGATTGCTTGGCTTGATGCTGTAGCAGGGAGTGAACTTGCTTTCATACTAACCAAATCAGATGGTCTTGTGAGCATATAGCACAAAACAGGACTCTCTCCAAAAGCGCTTATAGAAGAGATTGTTAAATTTCAGGTTACCTCCACAGAGGCAGCAAATTGCTATGTGTTCCCGAGGGAGTTCAATTTAATGAATTAAATGACAATTCACAGACATGGGATAACAACAGATATCTGTACAAGTGACACACCTAGCAGGGGGCTGCGTATGTGTGTGGGGGTGCATCCACCCCCATTATCAGAATGTTCCAACCAAAAAGGGTCATTTATCCCTGAATTAACAAGCATGATAGAATCTGTTCCCACAAAGGGTTCCTGTTTTGCTAGATTGACTATCAGGAATAAGTGACTAATAAATGTAGATAGATGGAAGTTGTTTAACCCCTATTGATCCTCCAGAAGAAGGGGACAAGGCTGATAATGAACCACTTTTTTTTAAATGTAACTTAATCAATTATATCAAACAAGCCAAAAAGATCTCTTCTTCAGGTGTTAAAGACACCTTCCTGGACACAGGCATGTCTATTTTAAGCTATTTGATGGCACAGTAAAAAGACCTTGAATTATCTGCCTTGTCTAATATACTAAAGGCATTTTTTTCTCCCTCTCTCAGCCCCTACTTCCTATACAGTGAAATGCTGTATTGCGTGAGCCCCACTCAGTCTACCTGCTAGCCCCACAAACTGAAGTCTACTGTGCAAAGTAGCTGAGATGTAGAAAGTTCTTAGACACATGCTGAGCTATGGAGAGACTGACATACAACAGAAGCGCTTCCTACATAGAAGTTTTACTCAAAGCCCACCTGCAACACCCTTCCCTCTCCTCCCAGTCCCTCTCCTCCCCGCCCCCCAAAAGTCTCTCACCTTTTTCGCCAACTCCACTAGCGGGCTCCTGTGACTTTAAGGAAAACCCTCCGTGCCAAAAGGCAGAAGCTCAACAGTACAATTGGCAACGGCCACCTTTCTGACTTTTATAAGTACCGGGCAAGACACGAGAAAGAGAGAGGAGAGGGGACAGCAAATGAAAATAGTCCCACCAGGAGTTGATGCAAGGAAACTCCTTGCTCGGGTCTTGGCCAGCGGACCTAAGCGCTAAGCCAGATAAGGGAACCGTTCTTCAGGTAAGGCAAAGGGAGGGGATCTGTGCCTGGAATGCGCTTTCCGAAAGGTATCCCGGTTTGAACATCTGGTCGGCCCCAGATTTGATGGGGATTAAAGTCCAGGATCGAAAACAATAACCCCCGCCCCGCGCGCGCCTTTGTTTGTCAGGCTTGCTTGAGAGGGGGGCGGGAGAGGTGGTGAGACACCCACGATTTCTTTCTATTTCTCTCCCCCTCCGCATTTACAGATCTCTAATGCAGCAGCAGCGACCCAGCCCAGCACCTTACCTCCTCGGCGCGGCTGCGGAGAAGCAGGAGGCTCCCGGTGGGATGGATGCCGGGCTCTCCCCGTGCACCTCGGGACGGGTGCGGACACAGGGGCAGGCAGGAAGCGGACACAACCCCCGCTCCTGCCCCCAGCACAATGAAGCTTTTCCTCCTCTGCTGCGGGGAGGCAGGTCCCGTTCAGTCGCTGCAGCCCGGCGCTCCGGGGGGGTCTCTCCGGGCAAGGGAGGCGCCGGTTTCCCTGCTCTTCATGGGACGCGGGAGCAGTCAGGAGGAGGGTCCCCTGTCCCTCGGGATGCGGAGCCGACGGTTCCCTCCTCTCCTGCCTGCCCGGCTCTCTCCTCAGGGCCTGCCCGCTCGCGTCTCCATGCTGCCCTGGGATGCAGCCCGCCGCCCCCCTCGCCAGTCCCCGGCGGCGATGCGCGCTGTGCACAGGCCCTGCCCGGCGGCCAGCGGGACCCGGAGGCGGGGGCTCCGGTCCGGCCTCCTGCCCCCTCCCCGGGGCCTGCAGACGCGCTCCGCGGGGAGAGGAGGCCCTGCCCCGGCCTGGGAGGCGGCGGGGAGTCCCGGGAAGGTCACGGGCGGCGAGGAGCCGGGCTGGGAAGGCTGCTCCGGCGCCGCTCCCGCGGCTGCCGGCCCGGCCTCAGCGGCTGCCGGGCGCGCCGCTCCGCCCGGGCTCGCTCAGTGCCTGCTCGCGCTGCCCGGCTGGGTCCCGCCGCGGCCAGGCTGCCCCCGCTGCCGCCCCTCCGCGGGTCCGGGGCCAGGCTGCCCCCTCTGGCGGTGCGGCTCCCGGGGCCAGGCTGCCCGCCGCCCCGCGCCCCGGGCTCAGCGGCAGCTGCAGAGACTGTGTCTGTGTCGTGTCTGTGCAGCCGAGGGCTGAGAGCAGCCGGAGCCGAGGCGGGGCCAGCCCGCTGACACGCCGCCCAGTGACAGGCGGCGAGGGCCCAACCAGGAGCAGCCCCCTGCTGCAGAGTCCCTCCCCCTCCGTGGGAAGGGGCGGCTGCACCTGGGCTCGGGGTGCCCTGGCTGGTGGAGGGCTCCCTCCTTTGCCCTCTGGAAAGTCCCCTTCTCGTCCCTGCAGGAAGCTAGTCCCAGCAGCCCCCGCCTGGGCTTCCCTCCCCACTCTGTGCAGGACAACGGGCTGTGAAGCACACGCTGGGCGTTGTTATAATATCTGGTACGCGAACCATTTCACCGGAGAGCGCGCGTTAAAAGCAGCGAGCTGCTGCAAAGCCCCGAGTAGGACAGGGAAGCACTGTGGTAAGAGGGGGGAAGAAAGAGGAGCCACCAAGTAATCATCCTAAAGGATAAGAACTGAACAGGACTTACAGCGGCAAAGAGTATAGACTAACAGACGTATTGGAGCATACTGGAGTCTATTGGCACCCTATAGACTAACAGACGTATTGGAGCATAAGCTTTGGTGGGTGAATGCCCACTTCCTCGGATGCATAAGCTTATGCTCCAATACGTCTGTTAGGCTATAAGGTGCCACAGGACTCTTTGCCGCTTTTACAGATCCAGACTAACAGGGCTACCCCTTTGATGCAGGATTTACAGCGTTCAGCGATAAAGCCAGAGCCAACTCCTCTGTCTGCTGTGGTCCCTTTTCCTCATTCCTCCACTGACTCTGGGATTAATCCCATCCCATGCCCCACAGGTGCTGATTACATATTGTGTGTATGTTTCAGGGAAACCCAATAGCATCTAATATTTCTAATGCCATTAAAATGTCAACTTTTAGAGTAATAAAATAGTATCTAATTTCCTGGTGCCATTAACACATCAAAATGTAATATCACGTCTTTTAGCTGAAATGCGGCAGAATTTGTCTCTGGGATGTTTTGCTGCATTCTGGAAACGGCTGAGAACCAAGTGATAAAAGTGTGAGCTTTCTTTCTCTCCTTTCTCCCCACAGACATGGAACTACCATTTACACTTTATTTTTATTCGTTGCTTTCATTTCAGTTCATTAATGGTTTTGTAGAATGGATTATGGTAATAAATTAGCGTGTTAAGAAGGGAGTGTATGATAAACTGTGTGGGAGAAGGGAGGATCTGAAATTGGCAAGGCAAAAGTATAATCAGAGCAGAAACTGTAAAACCAGGGAGCAAAATGTAAAAATAAGTAAACACAATTTCATTTAAAAATAAAAAACTCTTTCAGTTTTTAGAGGTTAGTACAACCATCCACATAAAGAGAAGAAAAGCAAACGCAGGCTATGAATAATAATCTAAATAATCATGGGTAGCAATAATATGGACACAATTCAACATTCATTGCTTTAGTTTTCCAAGGCAATAACAGAATAGTAACAGGAGGAAATGGCATCTTTGGAAAATGTCATTCTACAACAGATACTTCAACTGTCAATTTGTTCTGTTTTATCAACTATTTAAACACTAGGTCTTATTCAAAGATTGTTTTATGACAGGTTAAAAGAAATCTGCCCAGTACCTGATGCTTCAGCACTGCCCACTGTCTGGTGCTTCAGAATCAGAAGATATCAGATGAACTGAAGTAAATCATGAAGTTGAATGTGCCAGTGATATCTTTTTAAGTGTCATCACCTGTGATGTTTGACATGTAATGACATCCAGGAAAGTAATTTGAAAAGTATATCTGTGTGTATCTGTAAAAGCTACTGAATTCTACCCAGAAATGATGATTTGGAGGAACTATATATGACATGCTGGATGAGATCTGTTATAATAGCTATTATTCCCATGAGCAAAGAGAACTCACAAATGACTGACCTATATAAGTGACAAGTATCAGAGGGGTAGCCATGTTAGTCTGGATCTGTAAAAGCGGCAGAGTCCTGTGGCACCTTATAGACTAACAGATGTATTGGAGCATAAGCTTTCGTGGATGAATACCCACTTCTCCAGATGCATGTAGTGGAAATTTCCAGAGGCAGGTATAAATATGCAAGCAAGAATCAGGCTAGCGATAATGAAGTTAGTTCAATCAGGGAGGATGAGGCCCTCTTCTAGCAGTTGAGGTGTGGAACACCAAGGGAGGAGAAATTGTTTTTGTAGTTGGTTAGCCATTCACAGTCTTTGTTTAATCCCGAGCTGATGGTGTCAAATTTGCAAATGAACTGAAGCTCAGCAGTTTCTCTTTGAAGTCTGGTCCTGAAGGTTTTTTGCTGCAGGATGGCTACCTTTAAATCTGCTGTTGTGTATCCAGGGAGGTTGAAGTGTTCTCCTACAGGTTTTTGTATATTGCCATTCCTAATATCTGATTTGTGTCCATTTGTCCTTTTACGTAGGGACTGTCCAGTTTGGCCAATGTACATACCAGAGCGGCATTGCTGGCACATGATGGCGTATGTTACATTGGTGGACGTGCAAGTGAATGAACTGGTGATGGTGTGGCTGATCTGGTTAGGTCCTGTGATGGTGTCGCTGGTGTAGATATGTGGGCAGACTTGGCATCGAGGTTTATTGCATGGATTGGTTCCTGAGTTAGAGTTACTATGGTGTGGTGTGTAGTTGCTGGTGAGAATATGCTTCAGGTTGGCAGGTTGTCTGTGGACGAGGACTGGCCTGCCTCCCAAGGCCTGTGAAAGTGAGGGATCGTTGTCCAGGATAGGTTGTAGATCACTGATGATGCATTGGAGAGGTTTTAGCTGAGGACTGTATGTGATGGCCAGTGGAGTTCTGCTGGTTTCTTTCTTGGGCTTGTCTTGCAGTAGGAGGCTTCTGGGTACACGTCTGGCTCTGTTGATCTGTTTCCCTATTTCCTCGTGTGGGTATTGTAGTTCTGAGAATGCTTGGTGAAGATCTTTTAGGTGTTGGTCTCTATCTGAGGGGTTGGAGCAAATACGCTTGGCTGTAGACAATGGATCATGTGGTATATCCGGGATGGAAGCTGGAGGCATGAAGGTAGGCATAGCGGTCTGTGGGTTTTCAGTATAGGGTGGTGTTAACGTTACCATCACTTATTTGCACTGTGGTGTCTAGGAAGTGGACCTCCCGTGAAGATTGGTCCAGGCTGAGGTTGATGATGGGGTGGAAGCTATTGAAATTGTGGTGGAATTTTTCCAGGGTTTCCTTCCCATGGGTCCAGATGATGAAGATGTCATCAATGTAGCATAGGTAGAGAAGGGGCATGAGTGGACGAGAGCTGAGGAAGCGTTGTTCCAGGTCAGCCATAAAAATGTTGGCAAATTGTGGGGCCATGTGGGTGCCCATAGCAGTGCCACTGGTCTGGAGGTATACGTTGTCACCAAATTTGAAATAATTGTGCATGAAGATAAAGTCACAGAGCTCAGCAACCAGTTGTGCTGTGGCATCATCAGGGATACTGTTCCTGACAGCTTGTATTCCATCTGTGTGTGAGATGTTTGTGTAGAGAGCCTCTACATCCATGGTGGCTAATATGGTGTTTTCTGGAAGATTGTAGTTTTCTCAGTAAATCAGTGGTGTCACAGAGATAGCTGGGAGTGCTTGTGGCATAGGGTCTGAGTAGAGAGTCCCCATATCCAGAAAGTCCTTCAGTGAGAATGCCAATGCTCGAGATGATGGGGCGTCCAGGATTTCCAGGTTTGTGGATCTTGGATAGTAGATAAAATAACCCTGGTTGGGGCTCTAAGGGTATGTTGATTTGTTCCTATGTTCGTGTAGGGAGTGTCCTGGGTAGATGGTGCAGTTTCTTAGTATATTCCTCAGTGGGATCTGAGGAAAGTGGCCTGTAGAATTTGGTATTGGAGAGTTGTCTGGCAGCCTCCTTTTGGTAGTCAGACCTGTTCGTGATGACAACAGCACCTCCTTTATTAGCCTCTTTGATTATAATGTCAGGGTTGTTTCTGAGGCTGTGGATGGCATTGCATTCTGCATGACTTAGGTTATGAGGCAAGTGATGTTGTTTTTCCACAATTTCTGCCTGTGCATGTCGGTGGAAGCATCCTACGTATAGGTCCAGACTGTCATTTCGACCCTCAGGAGGAGTCCATGTGGAGTTCTTCTTCTTGTGCTGTTGGTGAGAGGGTATCTGTGTATCAGTGTGCTGTTCAGTGTTATCCTGAAAGTATTCTTTGAGTTGGAGACGGCAAAAGTAGGCTTCCAGATCACCGCAGAACTGTATCATGTTTGTGGGGGTGGCGGGGCAGAATCAGCTCAGGATTAAACAAAGACTGTGAATGGCTAGCCAACTACAAAAGCAGTTTCTCCTCCCTTGGTGTTCACACCTCAACTGCTAAAAGAGGCCTCATCCTCCCTGATAGTTCTAACCTCGTTATCCCTAACCTGATTCTTGCTTGCATATTTATACTTGCCTCTGGAAATTTCCACTACATGCATCCGACGAAGTGGGTATTCACCCACGAAAGCTTATGCTCCAGTACCTCTGTTACTCTATAAGGTGCCACAGGACTCCTTGCCTATATAAGCGAGTTACTCTGTCCAGGCTCCTGCGTGAAACTAAAGGATCAGCAGCCATCATGAATAACATG